ACTTTTAAGCTATTACACTGATATCTAAAGTACTAATTATTTCATTTCAATGAAACTTAGTACAAAGATGCTCTAGGACAAACCTGATTAGTTTGGGGTTAAAATCTGTTTATATTAGTTCCTTAAATAGCATAATAATTCATAATTTGGTACATAGATGGTCTGTTACATTGCGCAGACCTCATTAGTTTTACATTAAAATCTGTTCATATTAATTTTCTGATTTGCATTATTAGTTTTCAGCTTTTCCATCACTATCTCAATCAAGTACAAGTAATTTTGAATTATTTTTAATGTGTCTCCAATACTCTCACAGCATATGGGAGTTCTTTCTAAGCTTTCTTTGATTAATACCTGTATTTTCCCTTTTCAGTGTGTTCTTTTGTAGAATGGGCCAAGTACTTGCTACAAAGTGGAGCAAAATGTGTTTTGAGTGAACATTACAATCAAGACCCGTTGAAGCAGTGGTTTGGCAAACATCGTCAAGCAGAAGGATGCAACGAAAATCCCACTGTACAGCAATACAACAATAATACAGTCAACTGGCAAGGTTCAAATGCTTTGCCGTCTGTTAGTGGCAACACAACTGCCTATAGACAGGCACTCAAATTCATAGACAACACTCCTCTACAGAGGCGAGCTAGACATGTATAGTTTGTGTATTTTATTGCATGTAAAAAATATACAGTACAATGAATTGTGGCATCATCTCGGTGGTCCAAATTTTTAATTCGATGAAAACAATCTTTTAAGATTTTTCTTTACACCTTTTTGTCTTTTGATGTTCTTATTTGTTGCCTACTGAATAAAAAGAGCCTTCACATGCACATGCACATAATAGATAGTAGTTCGAGTTTCAAACTGTCACATGACAAATTTTTTGCTAAGTTGCCCCAATATTCTAAAATAACCTTATCACCAAGAACCTGTTCTTTAAATTCAGCTATGTTGACCTGCAGAACTTTCCAAGTTGAGTTACTGATATACGATCGTTTGTTATCAGTCTGTCGAAACCTCTTACAAGTAGGAAAACCTGATCGGCGGGCTGAATCAGACTTGTTTTTCAACCCACTGTCTGGTAGTCAACAAAAAAGAACTTCCATTACCCTGACACACCATGTGCTTTACCACAGAAAGAAACAATCTTGACTTTGGTGTATCTAACTTTGAAAATCTCATTATCAGAATTCGGACAATATAGCGGAGTGCCTCTTGTCCTGTTGCAGACAATGTGATTGAACCACTAGTACTGCTACCTTGTAGATATACACTTTCTTTTGTAGCTCTCATTTGAACAAGATAAAAAAAATCTTTTGTAAAAAAAAATATGATGATAATGAATGACTACTAAATTGTGACGAGTCCAGCAAAAACATTCTTACTACACATTACAGACTCTTAAATTGTGGCGGATTTATTTTTATTAATAATGAGGTAATATCAAGATGAAAGACGTTACACATATGCAGTCACTAAGGAAATAATGTTATAACATTGTTATGTTATTTTAATGTTTAATTTATTTATTATGTGAATAAAAAGTATTCTCGCGTTATCAATAAACCCTTGAAATTTACTGATACCACAGTCCCTCTATCCCCGGTCTGGAAACGACTAGCGTTCTTTGGTCTCGAACCACGGTGCGGGTAAACAAACCGTTCATACCCTGGCCGAGGGAGTCAGGAAGTCAGACAGATTACAATACCGTAAAAATATTCATTAAAATCGGTAAATTTACCGTCATGCAAAGCGATAACTCATTGTATGACTTCACTTTGACCTCAAATTCGGGCAATCACAACGTAAACATACATGTAAACAAAATTATCACTATGAAATTTGGGTTTTTGAACCCTGATACGCATCACAACCAGCCCACCAACTCATAAACATCCATGCCAGTTCCTACAATGCAAAGATTAATATCGGGAATTATGTTCATTTTCTTGTTTTAATAGGGAAAAAATTGCGTGTGCCAACATGCTGACATCGCTAGACAAATCTTGTCAAAATGGCATCGTTCATGTTAACGTAGTCGATCGAAAAACCTGTGATATTTCTGATTCTTGGGGGGTTCATAACAGTTCAAGTCAACTATACAACAACTAATGACTTTATTCTCTGCAAAAGTAACAGTGCTTCAATGTTTGTATATAAATGATTTTTTTAGCACAGAATTGAGTACATTGTCATTTCAAAACGTCGCCATTTGCATTTACGATCTAAAAAAGCATCCTGAAAAGTCGCTCAATTTAATATTAATAAAATGCGGTGTGACAGCCCACCAATTTTTAATGACATGTTTCGATCATAAAATGTCAGAATCGAAGACAAATATTGGTTTCGCGCCGAGAAGTATGGTAAATAAAATAGAGTTCATTTCAATCATCCCAAAATCAAAAACGACAAATTTCTGGGTAAAGGTATGAACATTTGTTGCGAAAATGTGTCGCTGCTGGTAAAATAGATAAATTAAAGAACTACTCGCCGGCTAAAATATGACCTTATACAGATATCCTGATTAAACAATTATGTGAAAAAGCACGAATTCTGGAATAAACAACTAAGTTGTAAAAAAGTACATAACACTGATGATGTCAAAAATAGTGGCCGGCTGCGTACTGATCACGTGACAATGCTTTGCCCATACCGGCAATGCGCCTATGCCAGGGAAGGAGGCCAATTCACACCTAATAATAATGACCGTTTCCAGACCGGGATAGAGGGACTGTGCTGATACATACTTGTAGTGTCTTTTTTCTTGATACTTGAACAGTGGCGGATCCAGAGGGGGGGGGGGCACCCCCAATCATTCATATCATCTGCATTCCACATAGCTTCTCTGCGATTTACTAAATTTTAAGCGAAGCTTGGACCCCCTCCCCCCTGCCCTGCACTAGAATCAGGCTTGTCAATTGCACCAGCAACTCCCTCTTTCCTATAATCTGAACCTGGAATAAAACAAAATCAGATAAATTGTATCTGTTTTGGAGAGTTGTTGACGTTATCGTTGCACGAGACAGGTCGTCATCACCGGTAAAATACGTTTGGTCATTTAAGAAAACTCACCGCGTGTTGAAGTTAAATAGTTTTGATTTTAAAATTCTCAATGACGCACGTCGAAATTGACTGGCTTACCATTTAATTTCTCTGTTGGCTTGTGAACTCTGGTGTGATTAGAAAATCCAGATGCCGAACGTAGTTTTTTGTCGCATATCGGACACGTGAAAACGACCAGTGATTCAATTTGTAGAATGTTCAGCGCTAACTTCAGACACAACGCCGTCTTGCAAGTTTGAATCGTCGGCACTTCCTTCCAAGAAACTGTCATTATTGACCTCTACTATGGGATGAGAATACCGCCAAAATTAGCTTGGTGTCATTATTTGAACATTGTTTAGTTGTTTGATTTTTATTTGGAAACTTGTTTGGTTATTATTTGGTCATTATTCGGTTATTTGGTCTTTATTTAAACATTATTTTGTGCTTATTCCATTAGTGTGTTATTACTGCAGCATCGTATTGCCATTGTTTCATTATTCCAACTTTATTTCTATATTATTTCATTATTGTGTAATTATTACAATATTATTTTGTCATTGTTTCATTCTATTACAATTGTGTCGTTATTTAGACATTATCTTGACATTCAATTGTCATAAGATTCGGTTATTTTCACGTCCAAATGTCTTGACATTCGGTTCGCTTGACTTGCGATTACCTCAACATTCGGTTCGCTTGACTTGCGATTACCTCAACATTCGATTACTTGACCTACATTAGCTGACCCCGCTATACATGTAATATTCAATCCATAGTCCCGGGCCGCCTCCGATAAAGTGTTGCTCATGATGGCAATGTAGCCGTCGTAAAAGTTAGCGGGAATTTCTGAATGATGGCCGTTTCATCAATATCCAAGGAACTGAGTGAGGTCGTCAGAGCCTGTCGTGACGAAATATCAAATGCCGCAAACTTGTTGTTGACACGACGCGCTCCTAGCGAAATTCGCGAGAGATGATCCGACTTTATCATTATATGATGACCAGAATG